AACCCAAAGAATTAAAAAGTAAAAAAGTTTGATTTAGATTATTTTTTTTGCCCCTTTAAACTTTTTTTCCTTAAAAAGGGTGGGAAGCACATATGAAAAACTTTTTGAAATTTCCTAAAAAAACCGTTTACCGTTTTGGGAATGAAAATACCCTCAAATTAAAGCTGACAGTCTGCATTTAAAAAGCACATTTGTTCGTTTTTTAATTTAAAATCCATTGGGGGTGGGGGAAATAACCCAAAAAAAGTTAGAATTGTGTCGATGCCCCAAATTTTTATGGCCCTGACTGTAAAGTGCCGGGTGGGAAAATGGTTAATCAAAAAGCCTGAAAAGGAAAAAAGCGGGGGGAAAGGGCCGAGCTGGGCTTATTTAGGGGAACAAATTCGAAGGGGGGAGCCCTGGGGGGAGCCCCCCAATACGGGAGGATCAGGGCGGGCTCTGTGAAAAACCTTACAAAAGAGGTTTTATGACAGGGTTTTGTTTTTTTAAAAAAAAAAACCTTACAGTGTATTGCCACATCCTGTATCACAGTGTATCATGTGGGAAAAGAACCTTTGGGCTGCCTCTCTTTACACCCACTGAACCTATATATTGGGGGAGTACATGCGCATAAATGTTCCAGGGTGGGGGGCAATGGCTTTCATTTTGAATTGCACCCAAAAGCACTAATACAAGCCCCCCTTCAAAACGCAGCACAAGGCACAGCATATGCATTGCGTCAGAAAAAAAACATTGTCCTGTGGTGCATCAGCAGCCCATTCTAATGAAGCAAGGGAGAATGAATCTCTCCTTTTACTCTTCACTTTGTGTATCTAAGTATCACCTATTGAAACCCTGTTAACAACAGGTTCCTTTCAGTAAAACATGTTCATTTGAAATGTCATATCTCCCTGCCTTATTATAAATTAAATAAATAAAAAGGTTTATTTATTTTTAGAACTGAACAAAATATACACAAAAACAAGAAATATTTCCCTCTTATAAGGATATGGCTGGCGGTCCACCTTTTCTGACTCAGCTGGGTCTTTTGTCATGGACGGTTTCAGGGTTCAAACCTGCAAAGCCAAATCATTTGATGTTGGCTGACACAGACCCTCGAACATTTGCAGTGTGTTTCATGATGTATATTTAACACTGACTCTTTACTTTTTCTGCAAATGCATTGTCTTTTGCTTTGAAAATCAATTAAAAAAAAAAAAAAAAAAAAAAAAAAACTTTAGTAAACTAAAAACAAGAAATGTTACTTTTTTATATTGCTCTGGTGAGATGTCCCCTTTAAGAAGCTTAAAAATAAATAAATAAATAAATAATATGCGCAGGTGGCAGTCTGGTTTAACACAAATGAGCTGTGTCATCAGACTCCAGTTACAGCAATCATTATGATGAAACTGTGCAGTCTGCACACAGTAACTTTCCTGCTTGCAAGGACAAACTAGTCTCAAATTACTGTATGAGACAGCAAATCTGTCCAAAAAATTAAGCTGTTGCTGCTTTTCTTTTTTTTTTTTTTTTTTTTAATGTAGTATGTAAAAGAAAAAAAACTTGTAAGTCAAACCAGCATGTCTGAATACATTGGTGTCTGGACTGGGTGCATTAGACAATGTGTTTGTGCAATACTGCCTTACTGATCATAAACCAGCCGTCACCGCCTGTAATTGGGAATGGTCACTAAATTTCAAAACACTGCTCTTGTGTAACAGTGCAGTCTCCTGTTCTTCCCAAGTTTCATGAATTATTCATATTATCAGACTATATACAACCTATAACAATGGCTTTTAAAGTTTTCACCAGGCTTCAACTGTTTCTCACAAGCAACACCTGGGCCTTGGCTAGGTAAAGTTATACCATGACAAACACAAAATGTGACATCTAGTAAAATAACTAGATTCAATGGGTTTGATTTACTAAAGGCAAATAGACCGTGCACATTGTAAGTGCAGTTGCTCCAGAACTTTGTAAAGTAAATCTTTACCTTGTTTACTAAGAATACCTAATCACATTCAAGAAAAAAAAAAAAAAAAGTATTTTTGCTTGCACTGGATTGGCTAATGAAAGTCAGCAGAGCTTCCCCCTCATTTACCAAGCCTGGAGCAACTGCACAGTCTATTTGTCTTTAGTAAATCAATCCCAATGTGAAGCACCCTGATGTGTGGAAGCCAAACCTTTTCATGTTTTCTGAGCCAATAAACCAAGCATATCTGAGTAGCCCTATGTCTGGACATGGGGGCATTAGACCATGAGTTTATGCAATACTGACCTACTGACCGTGAACTGTCATCAGCTGTGATTGGGAACAATCACTACATTTCAAACACTACTCTTATGTAACAGTTCACAAGCTTCCATTCCTACCAAGTTTCATGAATCATTGATATTATCAAACTATTTACAACCTATAGCAGTGGCTTTTAAAGATTTCATTAAGGTACAGCCAAAGCTATTTTGGCTATACTTCTGGGGATCACAGGAGTGCACACCTGTGACCCATTTTAAGCTGACAGCAGGCTGAAGCCCGCTGTTGGCTGGTGTCACTCAGCTGGTCCAGGCTCTGTAAAGATCCCATCTTTAAAGTGGGGATCCACACAGATGCCATACAAAGCTCCCTGTGAGTGGTTGGGCAGCACTCAGACCAAATCAATTTTAGTCCGGGAGTGGAATGGGATCTGCTTGGTGCAAATGGAATATTTATAGTTCGCTAAAATCTGAAGATCTGCTTTAAGGCCTCAATTGTACTGTAAGAAAAAATTAATTCAATTTTAGGTTTTGTTTAATCCAATGTAGCCAGAATCTAAAATTAAATATAATTTAGTGTGCTGAAGCCTAAAAAAAAGAAAAAAAAAAAAAAAAATTGACAAAAATGGCCTATGCAAAATGTATGCAAATCAAAGTTTTATTCTATTTCTAACTGTGGTGTACCTTTAGTGGCTGGAGTTAGCATTGTTAAATTGGTTTCTCTCTATCTTATGTAAAAATACAACAAAATCAAACAAAAAAAAAAAAAAAATACTGAAAAAAAAGAAAAGAAAAAAAAAAAAAAAAGCCCCACCCCGAAATCTACAATTTATGATATATTGCAGAAAAACACAGCATACTCAGATACAGTCATACACCACATTAAAGTGATTGTATGGGATTTTTTAATTATAATAAACACGTTATACTTGCATGCCATGTGCAATAATATTGCACAGAGCAGCTCCAAACCAACCTCACCCCCTCCTCGCAGGATTTAAATGACAGCAGCAGGAGTCAATGCCTCCCACTGCAGCCTGTGAGGAAAGGAACAGAGACAAGGGCCGCTGCAGACAGGCACAGCACTGGATTGAGATAAGACTCAGGTTACTTAAGGACGGTGAGGGTGTAATACACCTAATGAGACATTTTTAACCTAATGTAGGGAATGCATTAAGGTTAAAAATGTCTAGACTTAAGAACCAAATTAAGAATAACCCAGCAGTAATAAAAAACAATAAATGCAGTTATAAGTTCAGGGTGATATAAGCTCACCTGTCGCGTCATAGGTGGAAGGTACCAGACACTGCACACAATGGCCCAGCTGGTCATCATTCGCAGGAGGTAGGTGATCATTCCATATTTACTGCTGTTCCAGAAGGCATCGCCAAAGCGTGGGTCATACTGCCAAGCAGAAAGGATAAGTTGGTGATGATCCATTTCATTCCCTGCACACCCACACATATCACAGGACTCCTCAGCTTACCTTGATGGCCACAGGATATACCGTGGCTCCTATTTCAAAGCTTCCCTTCTTGAACATCATAACAGATGTGTTATTGATGCAGGTGCCTAGCAGAAGATAGAGACAATGAACAGAACAATTTACTTGTCGTAATCAGTATACAGAAACAGTAGAAGCAGCATTATACGGTATCTGGCAATTATTCTAGATTCAGCTAAATTTTCCAGCTCCTTTCATTCAGGAACAGTGCACAACTTCTGAATGCGTGTTTTTTTCTATTGTGACTTCAGTGCAATGCATCAAGCAGTGCCAATAGACTGCAATTCCTTATTCCAATGCATGCAAGTTCCAGTCTGAGTGACTTCCAATAGATAAAACTTGAATCATTCTTCCTGGAAGTCAAACACTTTCAGATTTTCATAGGACTGACAGCAAATGAGATAAAGAACAAGACAATCACATAACTGGACAGGACTCCCAATAGCAGACAAAATAATTCACCAATTACAACCACTTATCTGCTTTTGATCATGTAAGGACATTCCTATTGTGATGTGCAAACTACATGTTGAAAGACTCTAGGTTTTTTTTTTTTTTTTTTTTTTTTTTTTTTTTTTTTTAATGTATACTCTGCTCTACTTTTTCATAGGAGTATTTTTTTTAAACTGCAGCAGGGTGATTTTTTTTCAGATTTTGCAATAATAATAAAAAAAGATGTTGTAGCAGATTCAAAGACAGAAATTGTATCCAAAATCAAATGTTGGGTCATCTTTTGCAACTGCTTAAAGTGGATTAAGAAAGGTTAGTCTAGAAATGCAACATAAAAATTTAAATATTTGACAGTCACTGAACACAACGCAAGCTTTTTAAAAGTGAAATTAAAGTGGTTGTAATAGCTCAAGGTTTTTTTTACCTTCATGCATTAAGGTAAAAAACCTTCTGTGTGCAGCAGTGCCCTCAACCCCCTCAATATTTAACTGAGCCCCATCTCAATCCAGCGATGTGCACGAAAGCCTCAGCTCCCACGGGTCTCTTCCTCCTCATTGGCTAAAACAGCAGCAAAAGCCACTGGTTCCCACTACTGTCAATCATAGCCAGCGAGCCAAAGAGGAGAGAGGGGGGGCGGGGCCGAGACACTCAGCTGCTCGCTATGGGTGCACTAGGCAGGAGTGAGGGCCCAGGAGTGCCAATGGGGAACCCAAGAAGAGGAGGATTATGGCTGCTCTATACAAAACCATTGCACAGAGCAGGTAAGTATGACATGTATACTATTTTTAAAACACAAAAAAACCCCTCAATCTGCCTTTAATATCACTTTAAACTCCCCAATGAGGTTTAATGCCATAATGTGCTAACATGGACCACAAATAAGCACATTATGGCAGACTCCCCTGTCAAACGATACCCTCCAGCACTTTGCCTCATCTTCCTTATGGGTTCATTCTGTTCAGCCGCTTGAATTGCCAGATTGCGATGACGTCAGACCTGAGCATGCACACGGGGGTCATTTCATCATGACACAAAGCCGTACCGTAAATGTACGGTGTATGTTACTGCTGCCAGGCAAGGATAAGCAATTTTAACCATGGTCTCTAATAGGGTCTCTTCTGTTTTAAAAACTATGCTATCAGCAGTTTTTCAAAATTTCAAGTTTAGTTCCGTTTAAGTGAACAGAAGCCATGCACCTATTCAGTATCTGTCATGTATTTCCTACTTATCTGAAGACATAGCAGAATGGCCTGAGTGCTGCTCTTACCTTCGGGGAATATAAGGATTGGCAGTTTACTCTCATCTTTCACATGATCGGTTAGCCTGAGGAAAGAAAAGGGAGTATGAAGACATACATGGATATGCACAAAGACTACATATTATAAAAAGTGTAATAAGAACCATCAAATTATCAATGAATACATTTTAATTTGGTTTGACACGGAAACTTGCCTTGTTAAATGTTAAATGCTCTACCTATCTGCTCATCCTGCTCCTGGCAATTTGCTGCATACAACCTGCAGTGGCTTTGGCTCTAGACATGGGTGACACCGTTACTGCATACAGTATAAAGCAGCTTTTCTATAGGGGGATCACTAATCTATCTGCAATGATGCTCAGACTGATAATGTTACTAATGGAAAAACCAGCCCTTTATGGTCAAAATTTGCTCACCATCAACAAATGTGGTCTTCTTTATTACAGTTGCTGTTAGGGCTCTTTTTTTCTTAAAACATTAAATATCATACTTACCTAGTGGTCCCTTACCTTCTCTTCTGGGGTCCCTCACCAGTGCTGTCCCCTCCTCCTCTTCTACTCCAATAGCTTCCATAGCAATCTGGCTGCTGTGGGGGCACTCATGCGGGCACGCTCCTGAGCCAGGCTGTGTGCGTCCATAGACCCACACAACGCAGCTCGGTCAAGCCCCCTGCTCCCTCCTCACAAGATTTGATTGACAGCTGCAGCAACCAATGACTCTCGCTGCTCTTTCAGCCTCTTGCAAATACAGGAAGCAGGTGCAGCACTGCTGCCGATGGGGACAGTGCTGGATTGAGGGAGAACTTGAGTGTTTAAGTGGGGAGCTAGTAATAAAACATTGTTTTACCTTAATGCAGAGAATGTATTAAGATAAAAAAACTTTTGCCTTTAGAGACACTTTAAAGTGGCTGTAAACCTTTACCCAACGAAGAAACTAGCCTCAGATTATACACAGATGACAAATCCTCCTACACAAGTTGTATCTGTTTACCTGCAGCAATCTCTCCTTTACAGACTTCTAAAGCCACATTTTACACAGCATTCCTTAGCTCCAGAAGGCAGGGGTCGGGAATGTGAGGTCACACACTACACAGCATAGAGCAGGAAGCCAGATGTAATCTGAGAACTGAGTGGAGAGAAATGACCCCCCCCCCCCTCACACAGTCTTATAAGGGAAGCATGCACAGCTGAGTTTGTCAATCACCTGCTGTGTACTAGAGGGGGACTTGGCAAACTCTCAGTATTCTGCGGTGTCGAAATAGACTGTCAAAAGTGACTCATTCAGATAGCAGTACAGACAGAAATCACACTATGTACTTTGGATCAAGACAAGTACACACTATAGAAAGCTATGCTTCACTTATTTTTCATTTCTTAGGTTTACAACCACTTCAATCCACTGCTGCAGACATGGAAAAAAAGAAACCAGCATAACAAGGGCTCAGGGTCTTTTTAACTCTTTGTAAGACTGGTGGACGCTGCGCCACTCTGTCCTCGGGCCACTGGTCTTGTAATATCTATGCAGATAAAGTCACTTGGGCAGCATGCAGCAAAATGGGGAGGGTATAGCCAAAGCATTGCTTTAGTTTAGACATTCGCACCAGACGACATCATCCCAAGTGACTTTATCTACTACTAAACAGCTTTCTGTCCATCCTATGCACCTGCTTCCACTGTGTGTGTCTGATCAGCATAAAGCTGACAGATCAAGCTGGGGACTAGCCTATGTTTGCCTTTTGAGGGTCTGCCTCTGAATAAAGGAGGTTTTTTAGCCTTATAGTACCACACCATCTCTAAGGTGAGATAGTCATGCGTATCTTTAAATAAATTTAATTATTGAACACATCCTTGGGTTCTATCCATCCTGGACACAAAACACACTAGTTTTTATATTTTTTGGTTTTAAAATGACAAAACTGGCAACTAGCCGGGACTGCAAAATAAAAGGCTATAATGCAGCAGCACTGGTGAGATTTTGATTATTAGCTTCCCTGTACATTACCTATTAGCAACAAGAAGTCTATCTTTGACTTCTGAACGCTCAAACCAGATATGTGGACAGGCCTTTACCATGGCCCTCTGGATTATTCCCATCAGACCACCATGTACTTGTCCTACCTATGAAGAAGAAAGCATTTTTATAGCACACTTAATATGAAAAAAAATAAATAAAAGTAAACATTATGAAACTAAAAAGAATTTCTATAACATGTCTGAGGGCTTGTTCACACGTACGATGGTGTTTTTCCACACTGAATATACGCCAGTCGACTCTAGGGCACATAGAAAAGAATTGTCTTCTGTGTGCGCAGTTCGCACTGTAATGCAGTTCGGGGGCGAGGTGCAGTGAGCTGAATTTTATCACAGTGCACAGGCAAGCATCATGCTGTTCTGTGGACAATGAATGAATGAAATGTCACTTTGGGTCCTTCAAATAAAGATATTTAAAAAAAAAGAAAAAAAAGTAGAGAGACTATGTGTTGCGCTAAAACTCACATCACACTGCAGCCAAAAACTGACAGCTGGCGGCATGCCAAAATGAAGAGTTTAGAGTGTGGGCAATGTGAATGGGCCCCGAATGTATCTTTTACTGCATCATCTGTGCTCCCAACAACTGCACGGATGTACATATTATACAAAATTTATATAGCGCCAACAGTTTGCTCAGTGCTTTACAATATAACGGGATACAATACAGCAACAATACAGTTCAATACAAGAGGGAAAGGAGGACCCTGCTCCTCGGAGCTTACATATGAAAATTGTAACTTTTTGGGGTGTCTAAATAACCATCATGTTTTCCACATGCTAAGGCCCTGGACTGCTCAAGTGTCAATATAGCGACACATTTCACAACGTTTGATAACATACCATGGCATAATATCCATCGCTGGCAAGAATAATAACATCAATCGGAGATGTGTGATTGGCCACACAAATGCCACCATTCCTGGGACGATTTTCGCTATTGAGAACAAAATATTGTATATAAAGCATACAGCAACAAAACCGATTTTACAGTATAAATCAGAAGAAATTCCATAAAAAGTATCCACCAAATGGGAAAGCCCCCTAGGTGAATAAAATTAACCTACCTGCCATGATAAGTTATAATGGCTGTGAGGGCACGCACACAGATTCGGTAACACATCAGATGTACATGTTTACTGAGGAACTCCTTAAACCTGAAAACATAATAAATATAACAATAATAAAGCCAGCTCATCACTAGGGGGTGCGAAATGTTGCTGTACTGTTCAGAATGTTAGTGGCTGTTTGACTACAAAAAATACATCTGTAAAATATATTTACCCCTTTCCATGCAATGGAAAATAAGCTACTATGGAAATCTACTAAACAAAATCTTTTTTTCTGTACCCTTCATTAAAACAAACTGACTTATAGCAGGAGCAGAGCTGGCAAAGCTTCTACAACAAAATAGAAGTTCTGCTTTCAATTGTTCCTTTGCTTTAGCAGATATATTCTAGGGGGAGAAGAGGAGGAAGACTAGCCTCATAAGTGAATTCAATTTCAAAACTCTTCACACGCCTGGCTAAGGAACACCATGAGTTTCAAGATATAAGTTATATTGTTTAGGAAATATGGAACAGGGTTATTTTAACTGGTTTCTGCCCAAGCTATTGTAGAATGATGGCTGGACCTCTCTCATTCTGGGAGGACGTCATATAGGCGGTGAGCTGTGTACCTCGGACACAGCGCATTACCGAACAAGGTAAAAAAGCCAACATCACTGGCTCTTTACCATGTGATCATCTGTGTCCAATCACAGCTAAGCTAATGCAGGTTATCAGCATTTCCTTTCACAGCGCTGACCGATAACCAACTTTCCAGTGACAAGAACATTTGCACTAATAACCAGGTCACTGATAATCAGTGCAGCCTATCAGTGCCCATTGTACAACCTCAGCAGTGCACAACAGTGAAGAAGAAAAATTACTTATCTGCAAAATTTTATAACTGAAACAAAGAAAAAGGTTTTCTTTCAAAATTTGTCTTTTTTTTTTTTTTATTTGGAAAAAATAAAAAATCCAGTGGTGATAAAACTCCAACCAAAGAATGCTCTGTCTCAAAAAAACAACAATTTACTTTGGGTACAGTGTTGAATGATCGCGCAATTGTCATTCAAAATGCGACAGCACTGAAAGCTGAAAATTGGCCTGGGCAGGAAGGGGGTAAAAGCGCCCAATATTGAAGAGGTTAATAGTGTTCTTTCAAATAATACACAGGTTGAGCATCATACAGAATTATACAAACATGGGATGACACTAACCAGCCATTTGGTAGGTATCCTACTACAGTTGTTCCAAACACCAGAAGGCTGACCCCTGTGATAGCCAAAGCAATCCTAAAGAGAGAGACACATACACAGTCAGATACGTAGTATACATATATAAACATCTTGTAAACCAAAGCATGAGGTCATAATGATCTGAGGTATACCTGAGTGGCAGTAGAAAGGTGTAGCGAACTAACATTCCTAATCCCCATAGCACAGTGAGTCGTAAACTGATATGCTGGAAGTTGTAGTTGGTTCTGCTCAGAAGATTCCACGTCTCCAGCTCCTCTGCTGAGAAGCGCTTAGTCACCTCATCGTCCATGATGCTCTCCATGCCCTGCCGACAGAAGTAGAATATATCCGACAGCTCAAACTCTGGACCATCGTGGGAACGTCCACTTCCTCGCATCTCATATATTCCTTTCTCTAGGGATGTGCTGTCTTTAGCAATAATCCCTGTAAATAAATAACCTTGTGTGTGAAACAGAAGTGCACTGCTGACACAGGGAAAAGTTAAGACAGAAAACTATAGAGAGACAAGAAGATATGGTGGGAGAAACTGTCAAGAAAAAACATTTTCAATGGACGCAGAGCTGATATGAGCAGGACAGTAGCAGGGGTGTACAGATGAATACAGATTTTAGGATCTAATAGGTAAAGTGTTACTAAACCCATAACAGTAAAATCCTCTGCATTATGTAAAATGCTGTTTGATCCTGACTTCTCTGATCCTCTCCTTCTTCCAGCGTCCCCCTCTTATCTCTTGATAAGACATATCGTGTGGAGTCTTTCTGAACATGTAAAGCTTTGGTGTGCATTGCTAGAGAGGTTTTTTTTGTAGGGAGAGTGTATGCGATCAGCACAGGGCCAATCAGCACTGTCAGGACAGAGGTCGGGGGTCCTGCATCCTCCTAGAGCAAAATAAAAAACCTCCTCCTACAAGCTTTAACCAGTGCTCTGCTGGATACTGATGGAAGTCACAAGACTGCTCTAACTGCTGACTGAGAAAAAGGTATTTAGCAGTTTATATTTACTAAAATAATTGCATTTCCATGTTCTGTGTACTGTGGGAGACCAGACATAGTGAATGCAGGGTTCTGAGTTTAGTAAAACTATTTATCATGTGTCAGACAGCATGCACTTTTACCGGCAACAAGAGACACAATAAAGGTAGGTACGAACTGGAAGGTTTTAGGTGCATAATCTTACTAGTTTTGGGTGTTTGGCTAGAAAAAAGGGTGGTTAGACAAGGGCATGTGCAACAGAGTAGACACTCAGGACCTGTTTACACTATGGAGTTGTGGTTACCAAGCGCTTTACCACACTATGGCGCCATTCATTCTGCAATGCACGTCTGCCGGAAAGTGTGTGGAAGAGATATTCAGAATGAATGCATTCAACTTGTTCCACAGCAAAGCAGGCAGTAGCGCACTCATTAATGCAATGCCATAGTGTGAACAGGACAGAAAACTAGACAGAATGAAGGGTTATTCTAGTCACACAAGATTTAGCCTGATTGGCAGAAAAAAAAATGAAAATCTCCTTAAAACCAACAAGAAAAACTAAGAAGATCAAATGAAAGCATTTCCAGCCTTTCCAATCACCATTTCACCAAACCTCATCCATATTTTATAAAACTGATTAGTCCACACACAGAATTCTATATTGAAAAATGAGAAGCCTAATAAAAATAAATGATTAAAATTAAAAAATAAGTTGTTCTTAAAATATGCATACCATTAGTTAAAGGTTTGTACAGGGCATGACTGTTTTCCTTCACGCCTCTCTCAATTCGCAAGGTCGCCCACTGCAGAAAATACAAATATGTTATAAATCAAATAACAAATGGATGAAATAATGATCTGCATTATAAATATACAAGATATAAACTGACATAAACTTGTAGAAGACGCCAATATATGACATAAGCATACACACAGCCAATATTAAAATGGTACATGAAAATACATGAGTTAAAAATAAAAAAGGGTAAGATTAAGCAAAAAGGCCATGACACAAAGACCGCATTTAGACCATTTGGTTGCGGGGCATTAAAACATGCATTTGAGCCTCATTATCAACTCCCCCCCCCCCCCTTCACTGAGCCCCCTTAAGCTGCAATAGCAGAAAAAAAGGATGTTCATATGCTGCGGCCACAATGCTTCGCATCTGTGTCAAAAGCGATATAACAAGTCGTGGTCGATGTGTGTCGCAAACCAGCAGATCTCAACCCATTCAAGATAAAGGGGAAGCATTGCAAGTGCCTCGCAACCAAGTGCAATGCAAGCAGCTGGGGCGTGTTTGTTTGGCAAAAATTGGATTAAAACAGGCAGTGAGGGGGTCCATCTCTGAAAATGCGTTCCAATCACAGATCACTTTTCAGAGGCGCAGCAATTTAAGACGTATCCTAAGGGATTTATGTATAAGAAATTCACCATGCAAATGTTTTTAAGCATCCTCAGTGGAACAAACCTTCTCAGCACAGTCACTCCTATCCCAAAATGGTTGCATTAAAACTGTAGCTTGAAAACGGATTATGGTTCTTGTAAGTGAAACTCTTGACAAAGAGAAAATCCTGTAGGTGAACTGTATACACTGCAAGCTATTTAGTCAACAATTGTATATTGCTATCTGCTCATGTTTTGTAGCTTTTGAGATCTATCAATTGACTTGTGTACAACCAGCTTGTCAGGTTTTCCCCGAATTACCTATAGTCCACAACACTGATCATTACAGTATATTCTGAGAGCAGGGAAGCTCCCCACTGTCAGAATACAATGACACAGTGGGAAGGATTCCCCCATCCATCTATGTGAGATCACTCACTGAGGAATGATCAATGTACGGGCTGCCTTAGGCACTCTTTACAAATATGGTGCTTTGTGTAGGTATTTACCCCACCACCACTCTCTTGCAGTATAAAACAGGTTTTCCTCTATGGACTGTTCTGTATCCAATCCTTACCAGTTTCCTAGCTTCTGTCAATGAAACCCATAATGTTACCACCAACATGTTGGTATTCTCGGGGTCATGAGTAGTGTTGGCTTTCTGTTACATGAGCCAAGGAACCTACTTTTGGTCTCATCAAACCAGTGAAACTTATTTCATGTTGGCTGCATGTCCTCTATGCAATACGTTTGGTCCTATTTTGGCAAACTCAGATTAGGATTTTTGATGTTTTTCAGGACTGCCTTTCCTCTCTCTTCCAATATGCCCAGTTATAAAGGTGCAGCTGTAGTGTCTTTATACTTGTACCAAAAATGTTTCTCATATCTCAGCTGTGGATTTGTGTAACTCCATCAGATTTTTCAGAGTTGCTTCTCTATTTCCCTGCTATATCCAGGTTTGTTGGGTGGCCCCTTCTAGACATTTTTAAAATATGTTTAATTTAATGTTCTCTGGGCAGGATGTTTCAAAGATCAGGATAGTTTTGTTTTCTAAACATACTGTTGGTTGTTGCTTCTACAACAACTGATTTGATGGCTCCTTGATCTTTATTCTATTTTTTTTTTAGATATGTTCACTAATAAACTCTCAGGCCTTTGAAAAAGTTGTGTAATTGGGGTTCATGAGATACTTAGGGCTAAATTCTAGACACAAAGAAAAAACATCAGAATGCATTCCTCAATAGCCACAAAGAATAAAGCCAATTTGTGTGTACCAAATGTCTTTGCAAACTTCGATATTATCTTGTAAAAGTAGCAATGACATCATCAGTGTGCTGTATATAGCTGGTGCAGAAAGCAGAGTTTTGGGAGGGTCAGAGCAGGCCCTGGCCACTACAGGCTGCCTGCAGAAATCTACTGAAGGGGGCAGATACAAGACCAGCTACTCTTAGTGACTGATCTTTTCTATAGGAAGCTCTGACACAGTGGCAAAGGTTCACACTAGATTCCGGTGCATATTTGAAAGAAATACACACATAATCTAGTAAGAATGCACATACCCGTTAGACGATATTTGCTTATCCTGGAGTTCAACTTTAAATTGCACACAGAACAACTCCAACTAACTATAGAAGCGCTTATTTATGGGTTCCAAAGGCGAATACATGCACATTTAAGACTTTTCAAATTTCCTAATATATAATTGCGAATTATTTGCAAAACTTTTTTTTCCTCTGCAATGTGAACTACTGTGTAAATCTGTGACATTAAATTTCATTTAATTCTAGGTAGTAACACTAACAATTGTGAAAGGATGAGTGATCAAGATAAGAAATCCTCTACTAACGTAAGCCGACCATAGATGGGTAAAAACCCCCCCCCCCCCCCCAAAAAAAAACCAGCCAATTCAGCAGATACCAGGCTGAATTTCGATTTATGTATGTGCAGGCTGGTTGTACTGAAGTAGACCTATTGAAGGACATCAGTAAAACCAGCCGGTCGGGGTTTTTTTTTTTTTTGTTTGAACACTGCCGGTGGCTATAATCACAAGCAGTGATTTATTATATTCTGACAGCTGGGAAACCTCCCATTGTCAGAATACAAAAGCCGGGAGGGATTCCTCCATCAACAAAGAATGTGTTGATGGAGGAAGCGAGCAATTTTCTTTCCTGCAAACTGCAAGAAAGAAAATGGCTAAGTGTATGGCCTGCTTTAGAAGCGAACTCCACATTTAAAACCAGGTCACACCCAGGTTTGGGGTGCAACATATAACATGGTGACTAGTGGACACTGCCCCTTCTCCAAAGGCCCCACCTCCAATAGTGCGTGGCTGTTCTCACAGGAGCTGTCACATTTGAACCCAGCAAGGCTGTGAAGGGTTCCTCTGCTACTGTAGCAGGCAGACTTGTAGTCTACTGACACTTCCTCCAGCTCTCCAAGAGCATACCTCAGCAGGGACATAAAACGGGAAGAAGACCCTGAGGGATCCTGACAATGCTTTGCAGACTAATTTGCAAAAAAAAAATAATAATAAATGCACATTTTTTTCTGAAAATATATGTACAGTTATTATAATTTTTTTTTGCAAAAGATGGACTTTAAAAGAACTGTGCACAAGCTTCCACGTGAGGGTGTAACCTTACAGCCTCATTTAGGAGATCTTGCACAGCTCTGCTATTGTGTCTTTTTACCTACTCCCACAGAACAGATCAAAGACAGAGGATGGGGGGTGGGGGATGTGAGTGACATCATGGGGAACTTGGTGTCACTGCAAACAGATGGCAGCTTCAAAGGCTATAAGCACTTTGAAAAAAAAAAAAACATGAAATGGCATTCAAACTTGCAGGGATTTGTTGTGTAAAAGTACTAGGATTTCTTAGCAGTTTTTACCTGTAATCAATCCTGTATAGGGTCAGCGTCCTCTTTAAAGCAAATCTGTGTCTTTTTCCTATTCAGGGCAAAAGCAGCAGGTTTGCTTCTAGGGTACACCACTGCACTGTGGCAACGCTTGAAGCACTAGTGTGGGTTTGTAACAGTGCCAGAAACAATGTCAACAGCATTCCTACGCATCTACAGGACAAGCACCTGCGCTGCAAAAGCGCTTTGTGGTGCGCTGCAGTGAAAAAAATAAACACAGATAGGGGCAGAAGTAATGTCTCCTCTGTTGGGGCTCATTCAAAAAAAGAACATGCTACTGTAATGTATCACAGCATATTACTGCAATGCTCATTAGTTGCCAACAGGTACTTTATTCCTGAGACTCCCAGTATATTAGCTACCTTTACACTTACCCCACTGCTTTGTTTAACGCCAAGAGCCAAAGCAAATACCTGGTACATCCAAGGTATGGTGGGACATGTGAAGTGCTGAGCTATGTCTGGAGGTCACATGAGCAGCCCCCCACAGCCCTGTGTAAGCTAGGACTCAGCAGTTCACACCTGTTAACCACAGGCTTTTCTTCGGCCTCCAGGAGTGGAAAGGAAAGTATGTCAGGGCTACATGTCTTGTTTTTGTTGCTCTCAGTTTCCCTGTGTAGGGAGGTAGAATTTACCTTCCTGTCAGGACAGGAAAATGTCTCCTGTCTCCTACGGAAACAAAAAAAACATAAATAAATGAAAAGTACAGTGGGGGAATGGCTAGTAACTTCAGACAATGTGATACTGCCATCTGTGCCATCCTGTCCCAAGTAGGACAATCATTTTGTATGGGTGTCATAAGAACTAGGAAGTGAGGGGAATAAGAAGGCTTTGAAAAACTGCTGCTTTGGTTGCAAGGAAGAGAATAATTTGGATTTTTGTGTGGAGAAGGGCAGCCCAAAAGGGAGAGAACCACTTGCCCTCCGGAAGATTTAGAACCCCCCCCCCCCCTCCTGACCAGGCAATTTTCTGTGATACGGCGCTGCGTTATTTTAACAATTGCACGGTCATATGCAATGCTGTACATAAATTAAATTTAGGTCCTTTTTTCTCCACAAATAGACACCTCTCTTTTGGTGGTATTTGATCACCTCTGTGGTTTTACAGTTTTAATTATAAACAAAAAACACAATTTTGAAAGAAAAAAAAAAACCGCAATATTTTTTATTTTCTACTATAGAAACCGTTATCCAATGGAAAAAATAAAATCTATAAATTTCTTCATAAATGTAGGCCAAAATGTATTCTGCTAACATATTTTTAGGTTAAAAAAAAATCCCAACAAGTGTATGTTGATAGTTTTTTAATTTATACAGAAATTGTTTATTTATATTCTGGTAATGGCAGCGATCAGCAACTCATAGCGGGACTGCGATATTGCGGAAGATATTTTTACACCAAACCATCCTGGGAGACCAGTGACACCAACACATTGATCAGTGCTAAAAATATGTCACTGATAACTGTATAATATGACACTGATTGGGAAGGGGCTAACATCTAGG